CGGATTTTCCATGTCGACCGGTTCAATTGTCCTGGCATCATCATGAATGGATTTCTGGCCGGGTATTGGCTTCACAACACTTTGTCGGGCATCTTTCGTTGCTCAATGTGGCTGTTTATGGGTACCCTCAGTCACCCACCTGGCCTCAGGCCAAGCAGAAGACAGCTTCGTTGTTGCAAAGCATTACAACTGAGATTGTGGTCGGATCAACCGGCCCCAGGGTCGTCTGCGGTGACTTGAACATGTCTACCACTGCCTCACCTATTTTTGATGTCTGGCGCAGCTACGGTTGGCAGGAAGCTCAAGAATGGGCGCTGCAGCGTTGGGGTCAAGAGATTCAGATGACTTGCAAGGGACGCACTTGTGTTGACCATGTTTGGCTTTCGCCTGAAGCTTTGGCCCTTTGTCAAGCGGTGGAAGTGCGCTCAGTGTTTGCAGAACACTCTTCGGTGCTTGCATTTTTTGATTTTGCCCAGGCTCCAGCCGCTGTGATGAGGTGGCCTTGTCCATCCCGATTGCCATTGCATTCACTTTCGGCAGCCTGGCCGTCCACCTCACCGGAACCCCTCTCTTCCACCTCGACGAACTCTGATGCTCTGTTTGCTCAGTGGGCCTCGAGTTTTGAGAATAGCTTCAATGGCCATGTCCTGGATCAACCAGCATCGAATTTGGTTCCCCAGCAACGTGGTCGCTTTGGTGCCCAAGCTCCGAGATCTTTTCCAGCCACTTGCATTGCTAGTCGCCCTAGCCGACGTGGGGAGGTAGCTTTGCGCAACAACCGCCTAGGCTCTGTGGTGAGCTTATGGTTCAAGCAGTTGAGACGGCTTCAAAGCTACAAGCAGGCCATTGAAGGTGGTAAGACTACATCTTCTGCGTTGACCTATCGCATTGAATTGTGGTCCTCCATTCTGGCCGCTAAAGGCTTTTCTGGCTCTTTTCGACAATGGTGGAATGAGTTTGGCCGGCATGGTGATCCGGATGCTCCGAGTTTCTTGCCGTCGGGACCTCCTGCACGGGAACTTGCTGGCCTTATTTTTGTGAGCTTTAAGACCTGTTTTGAGGCTTGTGAATCTTGGCATCTTCACCAACGCCTCAAGCTTCTACGTGCCAAGCATGATCGTACTCTCCATGCGTTGTTCGTGGACCTTAAGCCACCGAGTAAGGCTCACCTTGATGTTCTTTGGCAAGAGCAATGCTATTCAGTCATTGGAGCTGACAGTGATTCCCAGCAATTGCACCTCGATCGTCCTCTCGCTTTGGGTGGGTCCTCTACTTGGACTATTGATGATGTTCGGGTTTCTGTACTTTCTGAGGGCAATGATGTCTGCACAGTGGTCCCTTTTCCTGCAGACCCTTGTGAAGTAGTGCTTGTTCAACATCAGACTCTCACCCAGCTTTCGGATTTGCATGAAGAGCTGTGTCACTTTTGGCTGCCCCGTTGGCAACAATTTGAGGACCTTCCATCGGACCGCTGGGACAGGATAATTGGTTTCTTTAGAGCCTATTTGCCTCGACTATCACTACATGTGCCACCTTTGACTTTGTCTACATGGCGCAGTGCCCTTCGACGCTTCGGTGTTCGCAGTGCTCGGGGAGTGGATGGCTTTTCTCCGGCGGAACTCCTGAAGATGCCTGATAGTTGGACACAACAGCTTTTGGATCTTCTTGGCCGTATCACTCTTGGTGAGCTTGCTTGGCCTGCTGCGATACGTTTTGGTACTGTGTTCTCTCTGGCCAAACGTGCTTCGGCTCATTTGGCAGGTGATTTCCGGCCGGTGGTGATTTTCAGCGTCATCTATCGATGTTGGTCAGGTATTCAGGCTCGTGCTCTGTTACATCAGCTGGAACCGTATGTGAACTCTGAGTCTTTTGGCTTTCTTCCACAGCGGGAGGCTGCACAACACTGGATGGCCTTGCAGGGTCAGATTGAGGTGGCAGTGCTGTTGTCAGAGGACCTGTGTGGTTTCAGCTCGGATCTATCTAAGGCCTTTGAACACATACCCAGGCCTCAGACAATGGCGCTTTCCCGGCATCTTCAGGTCCCAGAGACTGTCCTTCGACCCTGGAGCAGTTTCCTGGACACTTGTGTGCGGGCCTTCGATGTGCGGGGCAGTTTGAGTCCGGCCTTGCCTTCCAAGGTTGGTATGCCCGAGGGCGACGCCTTGAGCGTGTTTGCGATGGTTCAGCTTGATTTCAGCTGGCATGTCTACATGAAGGCGTTTTGTCCGGCAGTTCGCAGTAGTTCCTATGTGGACAATTTGGGGGTGAGAGGCATTTCTCCTTTTGATCTCTTGGAAGCTCTATGTACCACATCCAACTTCTTTGAGCTCTGGAACCTTTCTCTAGACCCTTCGAAGACCTACTGTTGGGGTACAACGAAAGCGGTTCGTGCTGGCCTGAGCATTTTTCCTCATGAGTGCAAGGACACGGCGGCGGAACTGGGAGGTTCGATGTCCTACACAGCCAGACACCGGAACAGTCATCAGAGGGAACGTCTTTGTTCACTGGATGAGCGCTGGACACGGCTTCGTTTCTCCCAGGCGACTGTTCAACAGAAGTTGCGGGCTTTGCCCATTTGCTTCTGGTCTAAAGCTCTCCATGGTGCGGCTTCATGTCGGCTTTCGTTGAAGCTGATTCAGGATTTACGTATTGCAGCACTTCGTGCTCTACGGCTGCTGCGTGCTGGTAGTAACTCTGTACTGCAGCTGACTTTGAGTGGGGTGATGACGGCTGATCCTGGGTTCTTTCAGCTGCAGTATACAGTGCACTGTTTCAGGAGGATTTGCTGCAAGATGGCTCAGTTTTTTCATGACTGGAATGTCTTCATGCAATTGTTCTCAGGTGTGCTTCATCAGGGACCCTTTTCCAAGCTTCTTGAAGAGCTCAACAATGTGGGCTGGTCGTTGTCGTTGCCTTGGCTCTGGACTCACGATGATCTCTGCTTTGACTTTTTGCAGATGGATTCGGACACCCTCTCCGAGCTGCTGGAAGAGGCTTGGCTTGGTCATGTGGCACGTCTTGTTCGAGGCCGCAAAACCATGAGTGATTTGAAGGGACTTGATCGGCACCTGCTGTGGAGACATCGTCAACCACTTACGGCCTTGCAATTGGCTCGTTTGGGGGCGCTTCAATCGGGCGCTTTCATGGATAGAAGTCGACAGTCCAAGTTCGACCTTACCAAAAGTGGACGCTGCCCGACTTGCTCGTGCCCGGAGACGCAGGAACATTGGTTGACTTGCCCGGCGCATGAGGCTTCACGGCGCCAGGCGCAACTTTCTTTGCACGCAGTTGCTACTTGCCAGCTCTCTTTGAAGCTCCACTTGCTGCCTTCCCGTAATCCTCATCTACCTTGGTTGCGATCCTACTTTCATGGTCTTCCTCGGCACTTTGACATGTTGGCGGGTCCTTCCAGTGATGCGGAGCACGTCTTTACTGATGGTTCTTGCTTTCAACATGGGTATGGGGGAGCGCAGGCAGCTTGGGCGGTACTTTCCGCCACTAGTGGACGGCCTTTGGCCCAGGGTCATCTTTCAGGTGTTCGTCAAACCGTTATGAGAGCAGAGATCACTGCTGCTTTATGTGCTTTGACATGGAGTGCTGAACATCAGGTGTTCATTCACCTCTGGATTGACAACCAGGCCGTGGTCACTAATTTGCTGTATTTGATTCAGCATCATCGTGTTTCTTCGCACTGGATTAACCAAGATCTTTGGCGAGAGGTGTTGGAAGCTTTAGAGGCGCAAGTGCGTGAGCCTCGTGCTACCTGGATTCCCTCCCACCTGGACGAGACTTTATGCACTAGTCCGTATGAATCTTGGTTTTGTTTCTGGAATGACCGAGTGGATCGTTTGGCTGTTTCTTGCAATGAGCAGCGCTCGGAGTTCTACTACCAGAAACTGCAAGCCGCAAACCAGTATGCGGAGGACACAATGTGCCAAATGGGGCAGCTGTTTTCTTTCTACTCCCATGTGGCGGAGGAGGCGAAAGATTCGGAAGTGCTCGCGGAGCCACAGACTTCTGAGGATACCCCTGAGATGCATTTTTGTGTAACAGACAAAGAGGCCCTGTCTAGTTTTTTGCCTGGTCAATTTTCTGAGCGGTTGACGGCAATCGGCCACATGTCTGTCCCTAATTTGTTTATTTCTCGTTTGCTTAGTTGGCTCGTCTCTCAAGAAGATGCTGCTGATGGTACTTACGCCTGCAGCTTTTTGGAACTAGTGTTCATGCTGAGTGGGGTTGATCTTCCTTTGAAAAACCCGAGTACAGGCTGCTGGGAGCACATGGATTACTTTTCCATGCCAATCAGGCCAACTGTAGCCTCCTTGATCAGAATGGTTCGTTTAGCTGTCAAGCTGGGGGCCGATGTGTTTGGATATGGTGAGCTCTTGTTTTTTCATGAGAACAAGGTGGCCTTGGGGATCCATTCCCCTTGCAGTGGCCTCTTTTTGCGGTTGAACAGCTCTTTGGTCAAGGACACGCGATTTTCTGTCCACACGTGGACATCGTCGTGGCCGATCCGCAGGGTCGCTGACCTCGCTAGACCGTTCCCGGTGGCCGCTCACACCGGATGAGTTTCGCAACTGACTGTGACTTGGCCGCCGCTCTGCTTGCGCCGAGCGCGTGCCACCCAATGTTCGAGCTATATATGGAATGTGTATCAGTAAAGATTTGGTGTCGATAAAACCGTTAAAGAAAACAAACATGGTCGCATTTGCTCATGTATTTACCGACAACAGCCGTACAACCCAAGCCTGGCTGAATGGAACACAAGAAAGTAAGGGTACGTGCGGGGCATCCACGAATACTCGAGGTTTCACAGCGAATGGAAATGGCATGGGCGGACTCCAAGGACTGAGAGTTCACTCCTAAGGACTCCTGTCCATGGTCTTCCGGACTGTTTGTAGTCAAAGCTGATTGGTTTAATATCCCATGGCCGCATGGCATGGATCAACATCGAGCCCTGAGATATGTCAGTATATCACATGTGGCCTGATTCTGAGGCTAGGCCATGGTGCTTTGGAGTTTGCCAAGCGGATGGTGTCTTCGGAAAGTGAGCGCGGCAGTGCAGAAGACGCCCTGAAGAATCCTTGGTTGGTGCAGAAAGTGTCCTCGCAAGCAGGCTGTTGCGCGATCAGTTAAGCAACTCTGTGCATTTTCACAGCTTGCGGGTCTGATGCATCACACAAGATCGTTCAGAGGGCTTTGAATTTGCATCGTTTTTGTATGTTCTTATCCATTCTTTGCATTTGAGAAACAAGTGCATGGACATTGGTTTATTTTTCCTAGGTCTTTAATTCATGTAGTCTTGTCGGTTAAAAATCGACTCATATTGATTGCCATGGGTTAGCCTGTGACCATCCCTGGCACGGAATCATGATGGGTGGGAGGAATTTGTAACACCAGTAACCAGCACAAACTCTCAAAGCGGAGCATTCTGCGTTGATGTTGCCACCCTTTTTGCGTTTTGTTGTTGTCCAGTTTGCTGCAGATCTCCTTTTTTCCAAGCTGGGGGATCTCTTGAGCAGATGGACTTGTTTTGCTGAGCTTTCTAGCGTAGTCCTACTGTAGAAAAGCCAGATGGCCAGGAAAATTTGCCCACAAGGATATTCCCATGAGAAGCTCCCAATGTGTCGGTTTTGGCTCATTTACTTTGTGGGTTTTCTTGAACACAGGTCTTGTTGTTTTCCCGGCCAGCCTGAGATGGACTCCATTCCAGAGCCAACTTCCGTTCACAAGTTCCTCCGTCAGACCAGCTGGAACTTTTTGGGGTCCATGTTCGCGGGGATCTCCATTTCACCAATAATTTGCACTATTGCTTCCTGCGCAGCGCAGATGGCAATAAGTGACCACTTCTTGCGGAAAGCACTTGAGATTGAAAAGCGGCAGCTGTGAGGCCCGTGGACCATCCACCAAAGAAAACTCAGATCATCCTTGGGGATACCGCTTCTAGGCTGTTGAAATCTGGTGGGTATCACGCTGGAATGGGCATGCCCCAGTCACGCGTATTGAAAGAACTGTGTCAGAGGCTTTGCTGAAGCTTCCAACATCGAACATTCCAAGTCGTCGCATGGCTTGACGCTTTGAACTGCTCTGTCCCTTGCAAGAAGTAGTGTCACTGGCCTCCCAGGGCATTCTCCTCAAAGGGGCCATGCTGGGCGTCAACAATGGTCTTGATTTTGGAAAGGTAATTAAAAATGTGAGTTTGGTAATGATTAGTTCAGTTCCTTTTGCATCCTAAAGTCACTCCATATCAGCCGCCCAGGACATCATGCATCAGTGCGCCAAATTTGTGGCTACTGGGGTGAGGCGCGCCTGGGTGATTGGCTATAGCCAAGTTGCGTTGTAGCGCTTAGCCGTGTCACCCAACCCTCACCCTTCCATGGATTCTGTATTCACACCGTGTCACCCAACGATCCAGCTCGGCTCCAGAATGGACTCTCTCGGCTCAAGCAGGTGCTTGCCGAGAGCGACACCCGTCGGCCCGAGAGCGACATCTCGGCGCGACGAGAGCAGTTGGAGCGGACTCAAGCCTTGAGCGGCGAGCAGGTGGGTCGGTGGGATGTGGTGAGCTGGGAAGTGATTCACCTGCAAAACCATGTGTGGGAATTGGGGTCATATAGCTGGAGAAACTGGACTGAGGATTCGAGGGACCTACGATTGGGCTCATGTTGGAAGGTGGCCGTGGGATATACTGCAAGATCTGCAAGGGATCCAGCACATGTCAGACCTTTTTGCATAGCCTCATTGCCAACTTGGTGAAGACAAGGCTGGGTGTCTTGGAAAGACAAGGTATGACAAGGTACTTGAGTCGGTCCAATCCCTCTCCTTTACCTATTGCCAATGGAATTCTATGGTTGATCTATAGTCACTATTCATCAACTTGGAAGAGTTTCTGTCTGAGAGGTCGGCGACAAGCCGAATGACGGACAGAGACGGACAGCGGGCGGTGTTCCTGCACAACTGAGCTTTGAACCTGTTGCAGCTGTTCAACAGGTGACACTACTCCACATGTGTTCAAACCTAAAACCCACATGACTCAAAGTCCGCAAACCAGTGCTTTGCCCCAGCGTGCCACTCTTCTTGAGTGGTGTTTTCTTTTATTGTAGAATCTTGATTGATGATCCCCCAACCTTGCACAACCAGGTGGCGAAGCTCGGTCAAATCCTAGAGCCCATTGCTTCCGAGACTCCGCTGCACTGACCAACGATTTCGCCACGTGCTATGCCCGGTGCGAAGCAGCTAGTCCAGCTGAAGGCCTCAGCTACTGAACTCATCCAGTCGCTAAATTTGTTTCAGTGAACAATGGTCAGCGTGGACCTAAGAAAGTCTTGGTTTGAGAAAGGGATAACAGTCTCGCTGTATCTCGCTGATTCAACCTTCATCCGATGTCCGTGGACTCCAAAACCCCACCAAATTGCATCCAAATGCGTGAAAAACTGTTGGCCTGGGCCTAGTAGATAGACCCTGATCAACAATGACTCATGCAACGAGTCTGAATGGTGTTCCAAGATGTTCCAACATGTTCCAACTGTCCTTTCACCAAAGACTGTTGCCTCAAATATAAACGTCAAGTTGCCGAAAAAAAAAATAATTAAACAACTTTAACAGGGCTCGCCCTGTTCCTTGGTAGTGCATTCCTGATGAGATGTCTTGCGTCTATTTTTACATGTTGGATCTCCTGGTCTCAGTGGTTTGACTAAGGTTTTGGGCACCAAGGGACTTGACTACTTCGCCCCCCCCCAAACAGACCTGTGACCTGTTTCAAGTGAAGGGTTTGATCAGAGGTTTTGTCCGGGTCTCATACGCTTCGGTTCCCATCGGTGCCCTTTTCGTTGCTCGGTCCGGTCCCAGGATTTGGACCCGGAGACCTTTCGGCGTTGCTACGGCGCCATGGCCCAGCGCGTGCTACGGCTTCGGAGGACGGAGGGAGAGACGACGGACCAAAGGAAAATAAGGGGGTCCTCCACTAGGTGGGGATTTGTTAAATGAATTCTGAGAAATCGATACCTGGAGACTAAGCAAAAGATGTTCAGTTCAGATCAAAGATCAGCCATGTCCTCATTAGTTAATTGACTCCAGCATCATCACATGGGTGTCACAAGAAACAGCCAGGGACCAGAGGTTTTGGTCGTTTGCACTACTGTGGTGGAGGAAGCAGATCATCGTCCTAAGCATATCGACGGATCATAAGTGGCAAATGCGAAGATTGTTCCCTCGATCCTCAGACAGTGGAGGTCTATGGCTCGCTCCCCACAGAGGATGGACAAGGTAAGCTTCACGGAGCTCCGAAAGAATAATATCAATTGGCAATTATTGGTATTTAGTCTGTATTCGGTGCATGTTCCTGTGCACCAGACCTTTGTGGAGTCCCATCCAGGGACCTGTTACAGGCCCAAGTGACCTCAAACCAGGATATATAAAGGTCACTTTGAAGAGCCAGGTGGAGTGGAGCATCTCTAATTAGTTTCACGCCGATGGCGTTTGATTTCATGTCTTATTGAGTCTCAGTCTCATTTGTTTTGACAGCTGATCGAAATCGATCAACATCTCTTTTCAAGCTTGGTGAAACACACGATAGACTTGCCAGTATGATTTCCCCTCATGGACATTCGTTGCAGAACTCCGCGCAAAGGGACCAGTCATTGGATGTCCTTATGCTAGTGGATTGCTTTGTTTAGTGCGAAGATCCCATGAGATTGATAATCAGGGCTCAATTGATGAGATATTTAGGCTTGACAAAGGTGAGAAAACTCATGAAACCACATCTCAATCTGTGGGTCTTTCGCTCCGCTGGAAACGTCTAGGACCTAGGACGTTCTCGCCGAGCACGTCGCCGTTTGGTGTTCGACTGCTTCCTTCACATCCAACGTCGACAGGAGTCTTTCCAGTGCTGCTGCGGTCCACATCTTGGAGCAAGTGCGCAGGTGCGGTCGGTACCGAACCCGGGATGCGAACCGGAGAAGCCGAGTGTTTGCACGGAATGAAAGGAGCCAAGACCTGGTTCCGAAGGAGCCAAGAAGAGGGACTGCAGGGTGAGACCAGTCAACGGCCTAGTGACCTAAGCATATGATCATTGTTTCACGTGTTTGAACTTTGCCTACCGGAGGGAAGGTTGATTCGAGTGTTGATTCATTATTGAAGGTGAAAGGCCTACCGTCAAGAACACATGTGCGAAACAAAGTATTATATTAATATATATATATAATAAATAAATTAGTGACTATATAGGTGGATAAGCTTCCAACTCCGCCATTATCATGGATCCTTGCTGGCTGTAAGGTAATTAGTTGCAAGGTAGGATCTTCCCCATCAGTATGAATAGGCGTTCAACATGTCAACGCTTCTGACCCCTTGGGGATTGCTACTCTTCCTGTCTTCTTTGAGTTAGCAATTATCGCATCAGAGATGATGGTGGTGTGATTTGCATGGCTCTCACTCTCTCCAAAAAATCCGCAGGGGTGAAGGCGTCGGGCTCTATGAGCCCCAACGTGCAAAGCTCAAAGAGGCCCTGGAAAAGTCAACGTCCAGGACTTGACGTGCTGCCTGGATCGGCGCAATCAATCACGAAGAGGCCTAATGATTAGGGGAGCTAGGGGACTCCTTCCAAAATCACTCCAAAAATCTCCAAAACGCTATTAAGTTGGAGGCCATCGCTATTAGGTTGGAGGCCATCGCTATTAGACCCCAGCTCCGCCATCACTTTCTCATTCCCGACCTATACTAGGAGCCGCAGTCGGAAGCGCAGCCGAAGCCGGAAGAGCCGCAAGAGCCGGAAGCGAGGCTTGGACGAATCTGGAGTGAGGAGGTTTTGAGGAATTCACCAGGCTAGTGAGGTCACAGTGGAAAAGAGCTAGTTAGGTCAAAGGATTTGGCTTTAGACCTACCCTGCTTCCCATCATGGTGCCGCTAGGACGACGAAGACGCAGCTCATCATCAAGGACAGTGGATTTCAATGGATTTCGGTGTTTGCATCCTCACGCTGTATAGGGAGGAGGTGAGAAGATGTTGGTCCCCACTGAAAAGGTTTGTCAGTTTCTAGTGTCCTGAGAATGAACACCCTGAGGGACTCTTCAAATTAGGATTGTCCGCTGCACTAGCATGTTTTGTTGCAACTCAGATCCTCACCAACATGAGGGCAGGATACAAAAACTTGCTTGAATTGAACGTGTATTAAAATGTTGTTCGTACGTGATGAATTCGTATCTAATATAATCAGGAGTGGTTGAAATCAATTAAAAAAGATATATATATATATATCAAAGATATAATATAATACAATTTCAATATATATACTGTATATATATTATATATATTTCAATATAAATATGTAATTGTATTTTAATCTATATATATTGTATTGTAATTGTAATATTTATATATTGATATATTGAGGGAACTGGAGACCCAAGAGTTGGATTCAACCGAAAATATGAGGTCTTGGAGAGATATTTATATATTGATATATTGAATATTTGGAATTTATTTAGAGTATTTTAGTTTTGAATGATTTTTTTTTTGTTTTTTGGTGGTTATTTTAATTTATTTATAAAATTAATAAAATATGAATTGAAAGAGGTTTCGGCTATATTATTTTCCGATTATGTATTGTATGGATTAAATGCATATATAATTTTGTTTATTTTAGAATTTTGAGAAATGGATTTAATCTTTATTATGGTAATTATATGTTTTTTAAATATTTTATTAAAATTGAAAAAAAAATATAAATTAATATTTATTAATTTTATAATGGAAGATTTTGTCGAAATTAACATTTTTAGGTATTTATTTTAATATTTATATAAATGGATTTATTTACGATAAATTTAAAAATAAAAAATTAATAAGTTTAATTATCGTTGCTTTTTCGATAAGTATTATAAGGATATTTTAGCGTATATTAGATATTAATTTTTTAGGATTGTTAGTTGACGAGATTTGTTAAAATTGTTTGTTTCGTCCACGATTGAATTTATTTTATGTATTTGGTTTCCGATTGTATTATAATAAATTTATGAAGAAGCATTTATATGTTGTTATGTATTCGTATAAATAAATATTTTATTTATATTTAGATTCTTTAGGTCTTTTTTGATTATAATTAGGTAAAATGCTTTTGATTTATATTCTTGCCTAAAGATTCTATTGGATTTATCTCTTCTTCCGGAAGGAATTTCCTTATGATTTTAAATAGTTAGGTTGCATATAATTGCATTGTAGCTTTAATTGGCTGGAATCTTGGCGAGGAACTTAATCCTTGTTTACGGAGAGTAGGAGCCCTATTAGCCGTATACAAAATATATAATGCATTCCGACCTAGGATTGTTTTACCAATTTCATAAGGGCGATATATAATTTATTGAATGATAGCTTGTATAATAAATTTTCCGCTAAATAATTATAATTTGCAGAAGAACATTATACTCATTGAATAGTTGTTTAGAGGGACACTATGGTGAGATAACATTATCCCCCTCCCTTTGCGGGAGGGAGGTGTGGGACCATCATTATCCCTGTTCTTTTTAAATTTTATTATTCGTAGCTACCTCTATCTCAATGATAACTAAATTTACTGATTAGATACGATAGTCCGCATTGTTGGCAATAAATTGCCCTTTCATTTGGCGCGTTAGAGCCAAATTATCGCCAGCATACCTAGATTGAAATATACTTCAAACATCAATTAGATCCCCTGACTTGCTAGCAAATGTCGGTCCGATTCGATTGTCCATGTTTTGCAAACACAAAGTAACATCCCGGGTATGAGGATCACCTGTTTCTCTCGTGTTTCTCTCGTTCATAAGGTGGTCAACCCGCCCAGGCCCATTAATATCAGCAATTTCGATTTGGCTCCAGGCTTCTCATATAGCCTTTTTTGCATTAATTCAACGCCCGATTTATGTTTCATACCGATTTCGGTTTGCATCTACATCAAGAGTCTCCAGTTTTCCTTTCCCTGTTTGGTTGTTTTTTGGTGGTGTTTGTTTCGTGTGGTATTTATTGGTTTGACATTTCATACAAGAGATTCTTTTAAAAACAACATAAATTGACCTTATGCATTTCCTGTATGAACGGCGATTTCACCCGTGCAAAAAGATGTAATCAAAATCTAACAGGGTTGTGAGGCCAGCAGACAGCCTTTGCATGCTCCATCTCAAATGTATGTCATCAATGAAAATGAGGAGATGATCATGGAGCCATTGGCACAAGAAACGAGCTGCCAAATTTGACAGCATCAAATGCATGCAGAGGGTCCACAGAATAGGACCACCTTTTGATCCTTGACGAATCCCTCGCGAGGCCGATATCTCACCAACAAATTTCTTATGGGGGATATAGTACTTGTGAGGGGACAACAGGGTGTGGATCATGGTCTGGAGGTCTTGTGGGAGATGCAGAGATTTGATGGTTAGACAAACCGTATTCCTGTTGATCGAATCGAAGGCTTTATTCATATCGAGGGAAACCTGGAGGTCTCCAAATATGCCATCAATTGAATTATCTTTGTTGTGTGTTTGACAGCTCGCGCGGACCTGTCTGCAATGTTGGGAAATACGTAACAAACAATCAATAATATTCCTGCGTGGGAGATAGGCATTTAAAGGGAGACATCGAAATTTATCAAAGGAGTGTTACAACAATTGGGTGGTGATAAAATTCGAGGCAATCTTGCAGACAAGGTGTTGAAGGCATATGGGTCGAAGAGCCTGTGGCTTCGTGCTAGGCTTGCCCGGTTTTGGGATGAGGTGCAGCCAACCTGCCGTCCATTCATCCGGGGCTTGGGGAGGATTGACACTCCAATAGTGCGCTAAAGCTTGATAGGTCGAACTACGACTTTCCAAACAATGGCCGGCAGACTCGGTGGCGTCACTGCTTTGGTGGCCGACATGCGACGCAATACATCATACATGGCTTCTTCATCGAAGAGCAATATCTGAAGGGGTGTCAGGACCGGAGATTGAAAATCAAGGTCGTGAAATTGAATTCCAAATTATTGAACGAATTCATCAATATCCTATTGAGCGCTAAGTGGTTGACCATGATTATCAAACATACGAATGCATTTAAACCGTTGCTTGGGGCAAAGCCGGCGGATTCTGCGAAAGAAATCGATGGATTGATGTCGCATGGCCAAGTCTGCACCCTCCTGGAGAAATATTTCGAATCTGGTCCGTTTATTGGTCTTGCTATATTGCTTGATCCGTTTGTGCAATGCAATGTCCGGTATCGTGTCAAATTGGATCACCCTTTAAACACCGATTTTAAATTGAGATCAGATAAAGCAAGGGCAACCTTACGGGCCTGCCACATCTGGGCAATGAGAGATCGAAAGGCAGGATCCAATGGAATCTGCTGCCGTACAGATGGAAAGCAATCTTTACATAACCGAACTAGATTTTATTCTATGCACAGGTTACGATCAATCGGTGATATCGCAGGCCCTGGTGTTGCAATGACCTGGCGTGCCTGATCGATGAATTGGGTCCACTGCTGGGTGTTCTGAGTCTAGGCCTGGCGGAGGTGAAATCGGTTGATACCCTCATGATTCTTTGGTTTGGGAGTTGGGACCCATTTAAACAAGTGCAAGCTCAGGGGATAGTGTCGCGGGCCTTGATTGCCAAACAAAAAATCAAAATCTGGATGATGTTTCGATTGCAATGTGCGCCAGGAGACCTGTTCCTTCCGTATGAGCACAAAATCTATCCGGGTAATATGATTACCATGCACAAAGGTGGGATTAAATATTTTGGTATGAACAGCAGCCAAATTGTGGTCCTGGACAAGTGATTGGAACAGGCAGGGCCCGGTCGGTCTGGGCAGCTCTGGCATACTTGGGATCCTTCATGAAGATATGTTGACCATCAAAATCAAGTGGTATGTTATAATCACCTCCTAATAAAAGAAGATTACGTGCTGGGATATGACGAATGCATTCCTAAAGATATATCCAGATTCGTTTTCGTTTTTGAAGCAATTGCGCTGTATTCCCATTTGATTTCCATGCATATTGATACACTGCATAAATGTCGTGGGAACGATACATTTGCAGGTGGATTTGCAATATCCTGTCGGGTATATGGTGAGCAATCGAAATGGCCTTTCGTGAAATCAGGGCAGTACGGACCATTACAAGGATTGAGGCAAATTTGTCGGCCCCATACACCACATGCCATAAGGGGGTACTCCACTCACTAGTCATGCGCCAGCCGGTCTCCTGAGCAATGATGATGTCATAAGGGCATCGATCATATCAATCGATCCAATTGGCATAGTGCATGGATCTGGATGCATTCCATTGAAGCACTCGGAGAAGGCCTGGTGTGGGAGATGTGAGTCCTAAGGCATGGAGGTCTATCGACGTCTTTGCGTCCATAATTGTTTGATGCGAAATGGTACCTGCATTGGATACAAAGGTTATAAAGATCTATTCTTATATATGGCTATACCAATATCCAAGGACCTAAAACAAGCTCGAATATGTAACCTTTTCAATCGATTGCACGGATTCCGAGACTGGACGAGGCCTAAGCCAGATGATGCCCATGCCTCGTGGTGTTTCGCCCGATAGTCATGGAAATCACGTCTATCATTCGGATTCATATACTCTCCTGCGGCGGGAGAGGCAACCCTCGCGCCCGGGATGGGGTTATTAAGCTCGAAAGGCTCTGGTCGGCCCATCCTGCCTAGACTTAGGACCCGAAAAATAGACGAACGAAAATGCAATAAAAATTATATTACGGGCAATTACAAATAATGAATGGCAGAAAACGAAAAAGAAATTCCCGTCCGACACTCCCAATCTCGATCTACACATGACGTTTAAACCACATATTTAAATATCATAATTAACAAATATAAATATATATTTCTATATATAATTAATAATTTTTGTTAATAATAAATTACATCGAATTCCCAATTTTATATAATAGTAATTAATAATAAATATTATATATTAATATTCTTAATCGGAATTTAATAATATTACTATTTGTTAATTTTTTACCAACAATTTCGATTAATATAACTATTAATAAAATTTCAATAATAAATTAGAAAAAAAATCGCAATAAATATAATAGAAACATATTAGATTTATATTTAATTTATATATTCTATTATTTTAAATTTATATATTAAACAATAATATATATTCCCAAAAATAAATATATATATAAATATAATAAAAATATATTAAATATTATATCAATATATCAAACAATTA